CATGCTAACCGGTCCGCATCTGCGTTCTGTTCCCTCGGTAACTGTATGAATTCAATCTTTGCAAAGTCCTTGGCTTTATGCAGAACGGCAGAACGATATGCCCCCATCGTGTCATCCTTGGTCGTGTACTCACCATTTACCTGCCGAACGATCAACTGTGAGTCACTATAAACAGTCAAACTTCTGACCTGTAGCTCTTTGGCCAACTTTAAACCATTCAGCAACGCCTCGTATTCCGCTTCGTTATTGGTGGCTCGGAACTCAAGTCTGAGTGCTTGACTCAAAGAAGTACCCTCTGGGGTTTGCAGTTTAACCCCAATTCCGGCCCCCATTTGGTTAGAGGAGCCATCCACATAAAGTTTCCAAGAGCCGCACCTAAGGTCTTCTTCCGTATCTTCGGAGTCACATTCTAGCAGGAAATCGGCTACCGCTTGTCCTTTGACAGCTGTTCTCGGCTCATATGTTATGTCAAATGAACTTAACTCTATGGCCCACTTTGTCATTCTGCCCGAGAGTTCTGGCTTGTGCATAAGCACTCTGATTGGAAAAGTTGTTAGAACAACTATAGGGTGGGATTCGAAATAATGCCTCAACTTTCTTTTTGCGTTTACAAGTGCAAGTATCACCCGTTCGGCCTTCGAGTATTTTCGTTCTGCCTCGGTCATTGTTTTACTGACATAAAATACCAGGTGTTGCACGCCTTCCTTGCAACGAATTAGAACGGCACTTGTCGCAACACTAAATACTCCAAGATACAAAAATAACTTTTCTTCTGGATCCGGGGCTGACAAGACTGGTGGATTCTGCATATATTCCTTCAAATGGGTCAATGCTCGTCGTTGCTCATCTCCCCAGACCTGTCTTCCATGACTCCGAATCGTGTCAAAGAACGGCTTGCAGCGGTCTGACAATTTTGAAATGAATCGACTTAATACAGCTATTCGTCCTGTGAGGGCTTGCACCTCTCTGATCGTCTTTGGCTCGGCATTCTTAATCAAAGCCTCTGCTTGAGCGGGGCTAACTTCGATGCTTCTACGGTTGACCACGTGTCCCAAGAACTGACCGGAACTCACACCAAACGAGCACTTGGTTGGATTAAGCCTCATCCCATACCGCCTCAGCACATCAAATATATCTTGCAGATGTTTTAGATGATCATTCTTCTTCCTACTCTTCACCACCATATCATCAATATAGGCTTCCACAATCTTTCCTATTTGATCCTTGAAAATTTTGCTAACAAGTCTTTGATAAGTTGCTCCCGCGTTCTTTAGTCCGAAAGGCATAACTTTGTAGCAGTATGTCCCTCGCTCGGTTACAAAAGAAGTTTTTTCTTCATCTGCCGGGTCCATAGGGATCTGATTATAACCTGAATAAGTATCCAGAAAGGTTAAGCGTTCATACCCGGTGGTAGCATCCACCATTTGATCAATTTTTGGCAGCGGGAAGCTATCCTTCGGACAGGCTTTGTTCAAATTGGTGAAATCAATGCATACTCGCCATTTCCCATTCTTCTTCTGCACGACAACGACGTTGGACAACCAATCAGGGTAGTGCACTTCTCTGATAAATCCCGCATCAAGCAGCCTATCAACTTCCTCGGCTATGATTTGGTTTCGTTCTGGAGCAAATCTTCGTTGCTTTTGTTTTACTGGTTTGAAATTGGGATTGACATTCAAGGAATGACAGGATATGGAGGGATTAATTCCAGGCATGTCTAGGTGACTCCATGCAAATACATTGGCATTGTGAGACAAGAAGTCAGCTAGCTCTTGCCGCTCTTCCCTGGTCAGTCTTATTCCTACTCTAGTAGTTCGTTCTGGCCTGGACTGATCGATCTGCACATCCAGAAGGGGCTCTTCGGTCAAGTCAACTGACTCCTCCACCCTGTTCTGCTTGGGCGGAGGTTCCTGTAATTGCTATCTGGGGCTTACCGGTCGGACGGGCGCCTTCCCTTTCCCAGCATACTTTAGTGTGACGAAATAACACTCTTTGGCTGCAACCTGATCCCCACGAATGTCTATCACCTTATTTCCATCGGGTCCGAGGCACCTCATGACCTGATGCAAAGTTGAGGGTACTCCTTGGACTCTGTGAATCCATCCTCTTCCCATTAGGAGATTGTACGAGGGGTGAATCTCTACAACCACAAAAGTTTCCATAAGAACTCGTTCTGCAGCTTGAACTTCTACTTCCACCATTCCGACGGGTTCCACCCTCTTGCCATCGAATCCTAACAGGGGATTCCCAGTGGGCTTGAGCCTCTCTGGTTTAATCTCGAGCCGATCAAATGTGTCCCTTGGCATGACATTCGCACTGCTCCCGGGATCGATCAGAACTCTGCGCGCCAGGCAGTCCGCCACTGTCAAACTGACTACCAACGGGTCTTCATGGGGGATTTGTACACGCTGCAGGTCCGTCCTGTCGAACTTTATCTGTATCGATGTGATCTGCTGGTGTAGAGTATTCACACTGCTGACCCTTTTCTTCATCTGCGCCTGCCGTAGGCGCGCTCGGAGCAGCTCATCTGAATCTTCGCTGGGCTCGGGTCGACCGTGGATAGCATTGATTATACAAACTGGTTGTAAATTATGGGAGCTTTGTTTATGGCTCCTTTTTACTTGTTCCATCGGTCGATTCTGCTCTGTCGCCGAGCCTTGAACATAACTCGCGCACTCCCCTCTAGCTATCAACATTTCCACTTGCCTTCTCAAATTCCTGCATTCATTAGTCTGATGACCGAAATCGGAATGGAAAGCACAATGTTTAGTCTGATCCCTCTGTTCGAGGGGTTGCCTAATTGGCAGTGGTGGATGAAACTTATCTTTGTTCTCCTGATATAGCCTCGCCAGAGTGACCTTCAGCGGAGTGATCAGCTCTTCCTCCCTGGACCTCTTTTCTGCCTTCCAGGAGGTCTGACGCTGTGGCTGAGCCTGCTTCTGCCTAATCTTTGCCTTGGACTTTTCCTCGGTCGATACGAGCGATGCTGTCCGAGCATTGGCTGCCTCCTCTTCTTCTAGGCGCACAAAGCCGTCGGCTCTTTCATTGAGTTCATCTATAGTCGTCGGCGTATTCACTACCAGACTGGTATGGAACGGAGTGCCACGTGTCATGGCTAACTTGAAGGCTTGAACCGCTGTAGAAGGGTGGCATTCGATCACCATACTCTTAGTGAGATTAAACCTGGTGAGAAAAGCCTGTAGACGTTCATCTTTGTGCTGTCTCATTGTGAATAGGCTTGAGATGTCCTTCGGCGGATGCTTGTTCCCATAGTACTGGCTTATGAACCGATCGCACAGGTTTCGGAAGCTACCAATGGAGCTCCTAGGCAAGTTCTTGAACCAGCTGAGCGCCGGTCCAGCTAGGCTTGTAGGGAAACATTTGCACATTAAAGCGTCGTTTTCCGTATTCAGGGCCATCTTCAACTGGATATGGTACACATGATCGATCGGATCGGTTGTTCCGTCAAACAGAATAAATACTGGCATAACAAACTTCCTTGGATGCGGGGCATTCAGGATCTCGTCAATGAATGGTGAATCAACCGTTCGAGCCGCGGATCGGAGTGCTTCATTCTCTCTTTGGCGCCCAGTGGTAGCTCTGTGAGCTACGGTTCTGCTCTCCGAACCGCGATGAGTGATTGTAGCCATGGAGGGCCGGTAGGATGGATCGAGCGACCGTTCCTCTATGATCTCTCTTTGCCAAGGCGACGCAACTTAGCGGCGATCAACCTCTATCGCCTCCTCTCGGTTGAACCTTTCCCGATGCGGATCGAAGGCCATGGCTTCGTTCTGTCTGATCTGCTCATGTCGCGGATCAACGTGAGTCGATCCTTCGTGATCCTCAACTCGACGAGCATTTGGCGGCAAATCATCCATCCTCCTTTCATCACGGTGGAGAGCTGACTGACTGTTCTCGTCCTGCTCGCCTTGATGCGCGATATTAGATTGAACACCTCCTTCACCGGCCGGAGGTGGACGCGAAACCGCGGGCATTTGCTGATGTTGCATTCCAGCTTTCAATTCTGCATTCTCTTTTTTGAGAGCCTCGATCAAGTTCATCAACTCCTCAAGCTTCGTTTGCTGAACAACCTCCATCGGATTGGAGCTTTCACCTATCATTATTCCTGAACGGAGTAAAGGCATTAATCTCAAGTTCGTGAGTAGTTCCGAGCTTCGTGAGTGGGAATTTTTCAGATCTGGTTTCGAATTCTCCGAATTATGCTCACGGTTGACGAGATCTGAATTGTCCGAATTCTAAATCCGTCAGATCCTGCCACAATCGAACAACTCGTTGTTGCGTAGATCTGAAGCCACTTCTGCCAAAGCAACAGGAACTAAAATTCCTCCAGAGTAGGTCACAATCGCTCAGATCTGGATCCAACTCCCAAAGATCGAGTCTCGATCCCCCGGATTGGTCTGAATCCACGCGATATTAATCATTGATCAACCAATCTTCCACGCTTCCCACAGACGGCGCCAATTGAAGATACAAGAAATCCCTCTTCTCTTTCTCTCTCTAGAATTCTTGCATTTCAACCCAAAAAAAATATCTCCTCTATTCTTTCCATTACTTCTCCTATTTATAGATATTTACAAATGTCGATGGACTGCTGGATCTAGGCTCGTTCCTCCATGAGTTTTGGTCATCTTTGATGGGCTTATTCGCGTTCGGCCCATATGGCAGTGTCTCTCTATGGGCCTGGCCCATCTGTACGGACCGGATGTCGCGTTTGCAAGTCATATCTGGCCCATGTCATCTCGGGCCTCCTCAGAAACAAAAGATGGAAAACGAATAAATCATATCTTCGTAGATTTAGAGGGTTATAAAGAAATAAATTAATTGAGATTAAAATATAAATTATTACATTTTTTTCTTTTTAGTTTGTTAATTACTAGGAAATTATAATTTCGTGAAAACATGGTTTGTAAACGTGGAATGTGACAATGTGTCATGCTTAGAAAAGTTTGTGATATTTACATACCTTCACCCAAATAGGGTTTAAGTCCACCTCATAGTCAGCCCACCTAAAAACCCTGCACTTCACTGAGAACAGTACCCCTCTCTCCAAAACAAAAATTCTCACCCCTTTTCTGATCAGAAATGGCCGTCACTGCCGCATCATCCGTCGCCAGATCCGTTCTCCGATCAAATTCCCTCCGAAACGTGGCGGCCAGACTCGCCTCCCAAGCCAAAGCCGCTCGCTCACCGTTTCCTATGTCAGGCAGAAAACCTCTATCCCATCGAATTTTCAGGTAACTAATTTACATCTCACACTTACCTATAGTTATGTTTATATATGTGTGTGTTAGACATATATTGTTATCAATACTTGAGAATGTGAATATGGTATTATTATCTTTGAAGGTGTCCAGTTGAGTTGAGCGTTTGTGTGGAATCGATGCAACCATTCCACACTGCCACTGCTTCGTCATTGATGACTTCAATGCTCTCCATTTCTAGCTGCGGTTATGGCTGGGTTCCAGAAGGTATTTTTCGTTGGACCATTCCTAAAAAAATGTTTCTTGTAGAGTACTGTTTGATAAATTGTGGTGATTTACAGTTTTAATACGAGTTGATTCAGTTGGACGAATTACTTGGTTAATAATCTGTTTTGTTAATCTTTGTTAGTATAATATATATGTATATATATAATTAAAAAAAAAAAACCAATATTATATGGGTTTTGGTCTAATTTTCATTGTGATTGATGGATATAAAGCAGTGTTAGTAATGCTTTGATGGTGAATTATGTTGTCCATGTGAAATGGAATACATGCTATTGCATTTTCAAATGAATGGATGTGTCAAACATGAAATGTTCCTGATGAAAACTACATGTAACACCTTAAAATAAGGTTAATCTTTTCCCCCCCTTTTTTATTAAGTTAAATTTCAGTAAAAGCACAAAATGTATACACTTGGAAACATACTTAAAGTAAATAGTGAATGGTCAGAGTAATAAAGTAAATGGGGAGCTAAACAATGTATACTTAAACTAACAATATTGATATTTCTACTCCATCAGAAAACCTCTTATTAACTTTCAAATAATCCACCAAAGACATAACGTTAGTGAGCAAGAAGCCTGCCACATGATCATCAGATCATGTCTGTCTTCACAACCCTATAACCTCTCCTACTGGCGAGCACACATACTACTACTCTAAGCATCACCAGTAACCTCTGTATAGAGTAAGCGAAATTTCCCTTATTTCTTGAAGGTAACTAACTTCATCCTGGTTGTACATGCAGCAACTATTGACTACAATATGACGTCCTTTTATGGTTGTCAATGTTGATAATTTTTCCGAATAAACATCCAGCCAACAGAACACCACCTTAGTAGGACCATGTGTGCCCACATTGCCTTCCAAGGATCCAGCATGGCCTCCATGTAGCACATCATTAAGAAAACTTACCTCAACTATCCCTCCCTCAATCTATCCACCACAATGTATCCTTCTTTCTCTTGGCACTGCATGAGCATATAACCTACTCAAGAAAGCATCGATCTCCTCCAATTCCCTGTCCTACAGCGGTCTATAGAGATGAGCATCATGAGCATCATATTCTCCTCCATTTTATGTGAAATTGAGGCAATCTACCACCATAGCCAGCTTATCTGCAAAATAAGGGAGTCATCACACCATGGCATCCAAATTCCAACTGTTCATTTAAGTGACTAATTGCTGCCATGCCATACATTTTATGTGAAATTGAGGCAATCTACCACCATAGCTTGCCTATCTGCAAAACAAGGCAATTCCAACTGTTCCTGTTAGTGACTAATTGCTGCCATGGCATCCAAATTTTACGGTACCCCAGCACTGTTGCAAGAATCCATTGAACCAGGCTCTTTGTCCAACTTTTCAAAGCTTCTACCCCTTTTCAATGAATTGTTTCTGAACCTACTCTGTTGTCCTTATGTATTATGCTAAAATCCATCCAATTTATTCTACACAGTTACTGAGGGTTTCTAAGTTTTTGTAGAATTCACCAACCACTGCTGATGTCCTCTTCTTTGCTCCTCCCCATTCACCACAACTTTCAATGTGATTGCCTCATCTGTGGCTGTTTGCAAGCTTTGAATTTTGTGTTTTGTCTTCTTCCTTCAGTCAATGACGGCTAGACTTCTTCCTCCAACTATCCTGCATAAGAGCAATCCTCCCAAGCTGTGCTTTAGAATTTTCCCTTCTGACTGCTTCTGCTGCAGTCAAACCTAGCATCTCTTGTTTGGTACATAAAGCTTTGATCTCATCTCAGTCACTTTGTATCTTTCCTGCTACAAATTTCCAAATACCTTATTCCACTTTTTGAAGTTTGTCTTTTACATCCTCAAAGTTCAAGCTGAACGTGGATGCAAAGTTCATACTGGTGTGTGGTGACATTACTTTATGTGACGGATACCATTCTTTGGCTTGCCCGTTAACATTCAGGATGGCCCAAATCCCGTTTCAGCTTAATATTTTAATTTTAATCCCATTTCTGTGAATGTTCTCACATTTTTAGAGGTCACTAGAAGCCCTTTAAACAAGATTTAATGCCTTATCCCACTAATAACCCTTTTGTAACTGAAGAGTCCAAATGAAGGAAGAAAGGATTCTGGTAATTTTTAGATTACGTTAATTCATGAATCAGTGTTTAAAGTGAAGGTTCTTTCTCTGTAGCCCTGAGAAGGATTTGGTAATTGGTGAGGGTTATCTCGCCTTGTGGTTGACATTTGACCAATTACTGGTAAGCTAGCCTCCTATGTTTACTAAACCGAAATTTAGTACCTAATAGCTTTTTCTGCAAACAATTTTGGTCAGATGTAACAAGATGTAAATACTTTATCGATTCCACATTGGAGTATATTATGATAATCTTGATTCATTCAATCTCATCATCTTCTTTTCTTTTTAAACCCGACAGTTATGGTGAAATTTGTATTTCCTTTATGGATGTATAGTTTCTTTGTATTCAACTGAGTAGTTACTGGATAGGTTGCCTAACCAATGGGTTTTTTATTCTTGATTTAGGTATCTAGCAGTAGGACCCTCCTTGATGTCCTTTTCCTCTTGAATTTTTGGTGAGTTGGTATATGCTGGATGTTGTCTTAAGAGTCATTTTCAGTCACTTGAGGGTTCCTTATGCTCAATGGTAGCTTTTGTAATATCAGGATATCAAGTTGTTAGGAGAAATTCAAAGTATACATCATTTCTTCAAATTTCGGTTCTTCGATTTTTATTTTATTTTTTATTTATTATTATTATTATTGTTTTCTCATTGATGGAGATGTTAGGTCCCTTATATAATTTTAATAGTATTAATTATGCTCCTACCTTTCACCATTGCTATTATTTTCCGTCTTAAAGATAAGTCAGTTTTCCATACTCCTATTTTATCATGTTTTTTTTATAAAGGAGTGCGTACTTCTTTTTCCCTTTTTGTAGGCCTTGACAAGACTAGATGAAGATGGAGAAGCAAAGAGAATGACTTGGATTTGTTTATGTTTTTAAGCTTTCAAAAAATAAGTAGGTACTGGTTGCTTCTCCAGTTTTAGCCGTGTTGATCACGAGTAAGCATGAGTTTATCAGATTTAAATTGACAGCTTTAAATGGAGGATGAATTTTTATTTTATTTTTCTTTTTTGTTGTTGTACAATTTGTTAAAGGGGTTTCTTGATTAATTTCATGCGGTACTTCATGTGATGTGTGCAACGCTTCTCTAAATTTTTTTTTTCTCGTGTAAATTGGTTTTATTTGTCTTTTATATTATTGTCATAATCCTGGAATAATCTATCACATTTGTTTGGCTAAAAGAAACCGGAGATGGATCATTTGGATGTGGTTGTGCACAAACTATTGTAAAAGTACAACTTCAATTTATAAATACATATTTTAAAATGGTCACTGGTAAACTTACTATTATCTGTATTCAATCAGTTTGCAATGATGATGTGTGATATGTATTCGGACGATGGCAAAGTTCTATGTACAAACTTTCTACATTCTAAGCTGTGACAACTGTCAAGAGGTTTGAATGAGCTGCCGAAGAATCAAGTTGGATTTCATGAGATTCCAAATCTCCTATATTTAGTTGTTTTAGCTCTGGACTTCTAGATATTCCTTTATTTATCTGATGTTTGACCAAAATATATTTCTGATATTTTAGTGAATTTATTTTATTTTGTTGTTGTAGCTCAAGAATTTTAAATATATCTTTACTTATCTGATGCTTTTGATTTGTAACCCCATAGACATTTTCACGAAAATGTATTTCTGATATTTTTATAGTCACTTAATCCATTATTCTTTATTAAGTAAGATCAGCACAGCATGGTACTAATTTCTCATATATCGACCAGCTTGCATTGGTGATGTATGATGATGTCCAAAAGGTTTCAAGCAAAGTTCTCTTCCAAAATTCCCTGTATCCCGAGACACTGTTGATGGTGTAAAGGTTGGAGCGTTGAACAAGATGCCAATAGATGGCTGCATATTGGCATGCATCTTTTACGTTTTCTTATTTCAGTGTTTCAATTTTGGCTTTAGTCAAAAAGCCATGTAAGATTTAATCAAATGCAGCAATTGAAATGATTCATTTTGCGTTTTCTTTAGAATTTTTTTGGTGGAGCTTGATCTTTTATTTTTTTCATCATAGTGCATGTGGCGGCGAGAATTATGTTGGTGCTGCCCCGTCGGTTTGGGGGCGGTTTTGGGGAACCGATTATGTAAATGGGGACGGTGATGGGGCTGCTTTGAAAACCCGGTGCGTTTTGAGGCGGTTTCGGAGAATAGTTGCCCCACCTTGTCCCGAATATACTATAAATTTATTAAATTATCCTTATATATTATAATATATTACTAAAATAAGGATGACAAAAATCTCAATCCCAATGGGACCCACTTCGTTTGGGGCGGTTTTGAGGAATCGATTTTGTAAATGGGACAGGGATGGGGCCGTTTTGAAAAATTTGGTGGGTTTAGTGAAAAAATTAAATGGGGATGGGAATGGGGAATGAGATCCCCGCCCCAAACCGTCCTATTGCCTTCCCTAACTTTGTCCGGCTGCATGGAATTGGAGTCTTGGAATTGGTATCGAAATTGGAGAAAAGTTTGATTCAATTTTTTAGAGTTATTTTTTTTCAATTTTACCAATTTCGATTTTATAGCTTCAATTCCATATAGTCGAGCACTACTTAAGAAGTTTAGACACTCTCAATTTATGGTGAGACTTGGAAAAAGAAACAAAAAATATTATGATTTGTTTGAAACAACTTGATATTGAAAAGAATTGTTTCATACGAAATTATTTAGTACAAAATATTATGATTTGTTTGAATCAACGCGATATTGAAAAGAATTGTTTCATAAGAAATTATTTTAGTACAAAGCAATCCAACATTATTTCTATTATTTGAGTGGGCTACACGACTTATTTTTTGCCATTACGATACGTTTTCTAGGTGGTCTGTCCATCGCCGCACATTTGGATTGAAGTTTAGAAATAAAAGAAAGGACATATTTTCCTTTCCCTTCCTTTCCCTCCTACTTGCCCGAAGACAATAAAAAGATTTGTGTCTGCTGTCACTTACCCAAAGCAATCCTCTTTATTCCGAAGCTTGTTACTGTGTAAAATAAGACATGGAAGTAATAAAGTGCAAAAACATAAATAAATTAAAAATCATGAATACAAGCTTGGTTGATTTTCATACATTTATTAAACATCCAACTTCATGTAAACTGGTACTGATTGGCTACGTGAAATACTAAAATCACGAATTTGGATGTTGGTGCACTAGCAACTGCTGGAATCTTTAGGGCTATAATCACATGTCCATTTTAAGAGTAATTGTATAACCAGATGCCCATTTTAAGTCTCTTAAAGAGCTTGAAAACAGCCATCATGCCCTGTTTATACAAACCTAACAACATGGATCTTTGTGGAGAAGGGGCAAATTGTGTACAAGAACCACTGTTAAGAGAGCCATGGCTAAAATAGACTCAATGTTGAACTTGACATGTCTCGATATTTAAGGGAGAACAAGTTTTGTGGCTTGTGTTACAAATAAATCTTACAGAGTATCCCCATGAGATATGAGGAATTATTGAGAAACACTTATTATTTCATCTGAAGGGAGAATGAGATCCAACGCGAAGTTGTTGATGAGATCTGAGATCCAACGCGAAGTTGTGGATCACAACTACATTACCCCCTTTGTTATCCTACATACCTTTAACTTTGACACATCATCAAAGCAGGTAGTGAAACTTAGTTTTTCTTGGCATGCCTTTCGTAGAAAGCTTTTATTCTACCAAGACCTTCTTTAAGAGATGATGGCTCAATGGCAAAAGTTATGCGAAGCCAATTCCTTAGACCTACAGCAACTCCTGCAAAAATGGAATTATCAGATGACAATGATTAGTATAGTTAGCAAAACACCAACAGTGACAATCCGAAGTTTAGTTGCACACAGTTCTCTTAGAGGATTCATAATCAAAATTACAGCCATACATTCCTTAATCATGATGACACCAAGCATTTAAATTTTACTGTTGATATCAATTTTGAACGGGTAGACCTTGCTAAGGCTGCGTTTAGTAATGAGAAACGTTTCTTGTTTTCTGTTGTCAACTTCTAAAAAGGCAAATCGAAAACAAAAATCGCGTTCAATAAAATGTTTTTGTTTTTGTATAACAGAAAACGTTTTCAATTTTTGTGAAGAAAAGAGAGAACATCCAAATGATATTTTTTACGTTTTCGACAATATAGCAAAGAAACGTTTTCACTAATGTTAGTGCACAGGCAGTATTCATTTCAAATAAAATTCATACTATATACTACTAAGTTGCATATTCAATGTTAATAAAAATATATATTTTTAATATAGAATAAATTAAATATTGTATATTATTTTTTATTTGATAAAAATATATTTTAATATATAATATATTAAATAATAATGTAAATGATTTTTTGTGACAAAATAATTTTTGATATAGAATATATTGTTATCAAATTATTAAGCAGTAGATATTTTATATTAATATATATCATATCTATATTGTATTATATGTAAATATTAAATTATAATTAATTTACAATATTATAACACAATATATATTTTTTTACATATAAGATATATTATTTAATATTTTTTATTCATAATAAATTATCATATGCTAAATATATTATATATCACAAAATAAATGTATACATCATGCATATACATGTATTTATATACATAATTGGTGGGAATGTTTTTGTCTTGGTATATCTAATTTTGTACTTATAATGTATTGGGTATTTTTAAGATTTATAATTTTAAATTAGATTTTCTAAATTTTGGTTTTTTGATATTAATGGAAGCAAGTGTCGTGCCTGAGTGGTTGGGTTGCTTTTTGTGTCCGAGAGTTCGTGTTTAAGTCATCTACCCTCCCCTCTAATCATTAACTCCTAAAATTCTTGCCATGAAAAAAAAAAAATAGAAATGAAAAAAATAAAAAATTTAAAGAATATTATGTACATTTTGTAACAAATATGTTGTATTACTAAACACAATTATTGTTTTATGTTTTCAAATTTGTAGCAACAAGTGTTAATAAACATCATTTCTATTTTCTATTTTCACTCAAGAAAACAAAATCATGTTTCTACTTTCTTAAGACTGCAAAAACAAGAAACGAAAACGTTACTAAACACACCCTAAATAACAACAAAGAAATGAATCTCGTGACAATTGTTCCTCTCGTGAAATTATCCATGCTATTCTGCTAGTCATATTTTTTTGAAACTGAACAAAGTCACTTTCAATTTTTTGGCAAACAAGTGTATCATGTTAATTCCACAGCTGTTTCTATATGTAACCACCATTTCTTCTGAAAAGTTGTTCCAAACCATGGTTTTTTTTTTTTTTGTGTGGAAAATATGTTTAAGTGGTTAAAACAAGGCATATCAGTTCCACCTTTATCCTAGTCCTTGTTAGTAAATTAAGCAAAACTAATGACTGAATCACACAAGAATCGAAATGCTCTGAAATTTATAATTGTTGGGATAATCTGGAAGAATAACACATTTGGGGCCATAAGCCATAAGAACCTGTGCCAAATGGATGATGAAAAAACATGGAAAACTTAAGTTTTCTAGAAATAGTAAATGAAAAAGGAAAAGAAAAAACAACCAGGTTCTATCCATTTCCACATTCCACTATTATTATCAAAGTTAAGAGTTTGTCTATTCAACTATTTTACTTTGAGTTACTAGTAAGCCTCTGCAATTTATGGACTAACTATCAATTGGAACATAGTAGTGCAACAAAATGTAAAGAAAAGTTATGGACCCACTAGTGGTACTTTCAATCTTCAAACTAAGAAGAATTGTACCCTCAAATTTAGTGCAAGTTCACTTGTTCTTTAAAAGGGGTTTTTGAATGTTTTCAAGAGTCTAAATATGTTTTGAAAACCTTGGAACATGAGTTAAGTGGGCCTTGAAACAATACCATCATGAGGTGTGGTGTTGAGTTAATTTATCATGCCTGTTAGTATTTTAGAATATCTCACTCCACACTTGGAGTTTCAGGATGACTTTTATATGGTCAAAACCTAGATTCAGATAAAATTTCCAATAATATATTATTTGCTTATTTTCGAGTTCGTTTGGCACCTCAACGAACTCTGGAAAGTTGGATTTTCGAAGTCCAACCGGTTGGGAAAAGTCCAACTGATGGGACTTGTCCCGCTGCCTCCAAATTTGCACATTTTTTAATAAGACTTCAGCTCCTTTTTCAACCAAACTTCTTGAGACGTCCAATAGGATCTTAAAATACTTTTTCCTACTTCTATTTGGACTGTCCTATTTATAAAACTCCTCTTTTCTCCAGCTCAATACATAAGAGACGCTTTTGAGAGAGTTTTTGACAGAAAATTCAACATTTATTTTTCTTACTGCTTTTCTTTATTTGTGAACACACACTATTACACGAGTGTCATTAGGGTAATGTTCTTCATCTGATTAACGGCATAGAGAGTTTTCTGCAATTCATGTTGGTTGATCAAAGTTGCAAGATTCTTCCTTCATTTTTGCATTTGTGAGTGAAAAGGAACGGGAGTTCAATCACTTGAAGAAGCCAATCATTTCAACTTGATTGCGTTGACATGGATTGGTGTTGCGGATGGTTCTGAAGGCACTGGGATCAGAGGACACTCAACGTCGGGGGCAAATCAACGGTAGGTGATTCCGAAGGCACTGGAATCATAGACTCGTGTAGAGTAGTTCCAAATAGGGGTGCACAAAAAATCGTTGAAACCGGTTCTTTTACGACTTGGTTCCGGTTCCGATTCTAAAATAAAGAATCATTAGTTTACGGTTCCAGTTCCAATTCTAAGTCAACTAAGACCGAACCGAACCGTAGACTATATATATAATAATAATAATAATAATAATAATATATCACATGTAGCAAATATAAGACCACTCACTAGTGCACAATTATATTTTAAAAAATGATGAAAATAATTATCAAAAGCGAACTGATTCCGAACCGAACCGGTCGGTTTGAATCGGTCTAGTTCCAAGCCTCAACGGTTCCGGTTCATTTTTTTTAGGAACCCTTGGGATCAGTTCGGTTCCAATTTAGCTTGGAACTATACTCAGTGTACTAAACCGGACCATGTGCACCCCTAGTTCCAAAGGCACTGGAATTCGTTGAAATCTTTCGTATCACACTGGATTGTTTTCCACTTAAAAAAAAATCCTGGTGCCATCATCTCTTGCTCTACTTTACTTATTTACTGCTTTTGTATGTTTATTCTAATTCGGTAAAATTAAAATAATCTGAAAATCAATCAAAAGAGCAAGCTAGACCTATTCATTCCCCTGTAGGTCTTTCATCTGAGATCAAACCATTCACACCACTTCAGCACCGCACAACTCACATATTGCTAGAGAAACAAAATGCGGATCTCAAATTTTGAAATAGATCTCAAGAAAAGGTGCAGTAACAGAGAATGTATTGGATTCTTTTAAAACTTCCTCGCAGAAAGAGAAACAAACAAAAGAAATCATTGATAATTATTACAGCTCACGAAGGTGAAAAGCTGACGAAGGTGTCACATGTACATTAGAAGAAATATAAAAAGAAGAAGGAGAGAATTGTATAAAGGCTTGAATGATATGTATAATATGTAAAGGCTTCAATGAGATAAATCACCCATTCACGGCTCTAGTATTTATAGATAAAAAGAGAGCACATGCTCATTTTTTTTTTTTTTCCTAGTTGGTATTCACACACACTCGTCTCTTCTAAGACTTGAACCCCTGATCTCCTTTTGAGAAGTAAGAAGCTGATACCGCTAGGCCACTATTACAATAAAGGAAACTAAATCAAATCTAAATCAAATCACAACATATTCTAAAGCATATTCTATAGTATAATCAAATCTCTGCTAATATGGTAAGTCATTCCATAAATCGTGACTATCATATCTGCTAACACCCCCCCTCAAGTTGGTGCGTGGATATCTGAAACGCCTAACTTGGACAATGCATTCTCAAACACAATCTTGCTTACACCCTTTGTAAGAATGTCTACAAGCTGTTGAGAGCTTGTGACAAATGGAGTGCAAATCTGACTAGCGATGATTTTCTCTCAAATGAATTGTCGATCAACAAATCAAAAATGTCTCCTTAGACGATAAACAATTAACAATGTCTCCTCAGACCATAAAAAACCAATCATGTCTCCTCAGACCATAAACAACCAACAATGTCTTCTCAGACCATTTCCCTTCATACACATGTTTAAAACATGCAGATGGAAGAATCAACAATGTCTCCTCAGATCATTCCCCTTCATACATATGTTTAAGCAATGTAGATGAAAGGGTCAACAATGTCTCCTCATACCATAAAAAATAATAAATAAAAATAATAAATAGATAAATAAAAACCTACTATGTCTCCTCAGACCAAAAAAAAGAAACAATTATGTCTCCTCAGACTGTTTCTGAATGGGTGGTGCCAAACACACAACGCCCTCATTGAGGTCGGACCACCCTGCCTACCCAACACCTCCCGGATGGGCATTAGACCATTTCTGAATGGGTGGTGCCGAACTCGCAATGTCCTCATTGCAGTCGGACCACTTTAACTCTGATACCAACTGTAACGGGTGGGCGCTTACCCATTCACCCGAAAGCTTAAACTATTGGGTAGTGTTGCATACCTACCCATTTATACCCATTCATTTTCCTATCCAGATCTGATGTGGGACAAGCTCTCTCTTGTAACATTCGCCCCCAGCTAAATTTGCAACGCCCTCGTTGCGACTCGAGCCACCCTATCTAACCAGGGTGAAGACCCGGACGCCATCCGGGCTGCACGCTTGGCGTGACACTGGATCAAGGAATGGGTGTGGCTCCAAGAAGAAATATAAAAAGAAGAAGAAGGAGATAATTATATAAAAGGCTTGAATGTTATGTATAATATGTAAAGGCTTGAATGAGATACATTTCTCATTCACGACTCTAGTATTTATAGATAAAAAGAGAGCACATGCTCATATTACAAGAAAGGAAACTAAATCAAATCTAAATCAAATCACAGCATATTCTATAGCATAATCAAATCTCTGCTAATATGGTAAGTCAGTCCATAAATCATGGCTATCATATCTGCTAACAACATGATTAAATTAACTTTAGAAACTTAAACTGTTAGCTTCTTACCTGGTAGAATAATCACAGATTCCTCCTTAGCAAGCTTGACACAGAAGTCCAAATCATCATTGATGTCTTCCAGTGTTGACAGATTTAGTTTCACCTGAAATAAAAACATTACTTGTGATAACAGATAACATTTTGAATCACAAAACAACCTCAAACTTGCTACATCCTCACCATTACAAACATAGATCCTTCAGGTTTGCTTGGGCAAGTAATGCAAGGGATCTCCTTAATTGTATCATAACAAATGTCTGCAGCTTCTCTCAATATATTAACAATTTTCAAAAAGAAATCCTTCTGCGTTTTCTCAAGGATTTGAGGAACAGCACCCTGATGATTCAAAGAGTTTAATATCATCCAAAGTAAAAAGTTTACAAATAGTTTACTTATAAAGAAAAAAAATGTGATTAACAATTGTCTGAAGCAAAACAAAAGCACAATACATACATATTCTAAAATAAGTTTACTTATACAAATGAGGATCAAGCTAGAATTTGTTCTGCTGAGAGGCATCCAACTAATAGCAAAGTTGTGTTAACAAATCATCATTCATACCCGTTCGCAGAATATGAACAACAAATAAAACAATTAATAAACTAACCGTAGGCTACTTCACCTGTACTTGAATTTTCATAAGAAATAAACCAACCATTAGCATTTGGCAGTACAACCATTATTCTTTTTTTTTCCCCAGAAGGTTTGTACAACCATGATTTTTCTTTCACTGACCATTAGCATTTGCCAATATTATTCTGTTGTTAACATCTATCAAAAGCCAAAAGCCTCATATTATTTAAATTATAGCATGCAGCATTTGTTGCCCAAGAAATAGACTAATAGTTTTAGATGTCTATATAAAAATACTTTTTTTGAAATTATAGCATGCAAGAATTTGTTGCCCAAGAACTAGACTAATAGTTTTAGATGTCTATATAAAAAGACATTCTAAAAGGGAGAACTAGAATAAACCCAAGAACTAGGTAGAAAAAAATTTAATGTGAAATAAGATAACTGCATGTATTAAAAGAGTAGCAAAAAAATTGTTCTGGGAGACAAACAAACCAAGAGTCTAAAAAGTTTGGTAAAAAAACTACAAATAGAGAAACCATTAAAAAATAATAAAAAAATGCCAATAAGGAAGTTAAAAAAGTAGTAAGCAAAGCGAATATGATGACCTCTATTCTAAATTAGACACAAAAGATGGGGAGGAGAATATATAGCATACGATGACCTCTATTTAAATTAGACACAAAAGATGGGGAGAAGAATATTTATATATAAACTAGATAAACATATGATGATTTCTATTCTAAATTAATGCAAATTTAAGGGTTTTGGTCAAAGTTGATGAAATTAAAGAAAGATGAAAAAAATTAACTTGAGAAATTGTTCATGAAATCATCAAGAAAATTCAGGCTTAGAAGAATATAGTAACCTCAGGAATAATAAGTTTTTTTGTAGGGTAAAAGAGTGCGAGGTTTAAAAATGCATTAAAGAAGATGAAATCAAGAAGTTCTTGCCTTTTTTTTTTTTTTTTTTTGATAAGTAAAATCAAGAAGGGTTTTAGGGTCAAATGGGGTTCCTATTGACGTTTGGAAGTGTTTAGGAGAGAATGACTTGTCTTGGGTAACAAAATTGTTTAATAAAATAAACACTAAAAAAAGCCTAATGAGAGGCTCAAAAAAATTTGAATACCTATATATTAAAATGAAGGAGACATACAAAGTTGCAGTAACTATCGTGATATTAAATTAATAAGTAATTTTATAAAACTTGGGAGACTGGGAGAGTGATTGAACAAAGATTGAACAACGATTAAGATGAGAGATTGCAGTGTCAGAAAATCAATTTGAATTCATACTAGTGAGGTCAACGATTGAGGCTATTTATTCATTGAGAAAACTAATGGAAAAATCTGCATATGATTTTTATTGATTTAGAGAAAACCTATGATAGGGTACCTAGAAATCTAATATAAACGATTTTAGAAAAGAAAAGAGTCACAAAGGACCGCCAAAGGCTGTAGCCTCGTGGTACTTTCTCACCTTCCAAAGTAGAAGGTCGAGGTTCAAGTTTCCATAGGGGCAAGTGGGGGCGTGAGTGTGTTTATTGCCAAGGGAAAAAAAAAAAAAAAAGAATCAGAAAGGGATATATTGTCACAATAAAGGACATATAAGATGGATGTGTGACTATTGTTAGAGCAGCAGTGGGGAAACAATTGAATTTTCGAATTAATGTAGGCTTACATCAATGGTTAGCATTAAGCCCATACCATTTTACCTTTTTTATGGATGAGCTGACAAGACACATTTAAGATGAAATTTTATGTTGGTATGTTATTTGTTGATGATATTAGTTTGATTAATGAAACTACAGAAAGAGTCAGCACCAAATCGGAGGCTTGGAGGGAAGCTCTAGAATTAAAAGGGTTTAAGATAAGTACAAAATTAAACAAAACATACAGAGTGTAATTTAATAAATTTATAAATATAAATGAAGATTTAGTGAAGATTGATAAACAAGAGTTACAAAAAAAAAAATGAATATGTCCTTATTTAGGTTCATTTATTCATAATGAAGGAGAAATTGAAAATGATGTTAACCTTAAAATTAAGGCAGAATGGGTTAAATGGATTAGTGCATCTAGTATATTGTGTGATTGATATATCCGGTTAAAATTGAAAGAGAAGTTCTGTACAATAGTATTAGACCAGTTGTACTCTATGGGAGAGAAATTTGGGCAACTAGGAAACAACATATGCATAAAGTGAGCATGGTGAAAATGCGAATGCTGAGATGGCTATACGGTAAAATGAACGAACACAATCATGAGATGGTTGAAGTAACACAAATTGGAGATGGTTTGGACATGTGCAAAAAAAAGACCATTAAGAGTGCCAGTTAGGAAGAATAACATGGTCCACAAGGGCAATACTAAGAAAAAGATATGATAAAAAATAATAAATAAATAAATAAATTGTTTGTTTTTGTATTTACACATGAAAAATAGGCTTCTTATAGCCGAATTGGTTAGACATTGTTTGTGTTTCTTTGTTATTGGAGTAAATATTACTCTCATGTTATATTCTTATTAATACCTATTAACTAACTAGCATGAAATTGAAGAATTAGTTCTTACACCCTTTCAAGTGAATGGAACGACATCAATTCAGAATCAACTTTGTTGTAGTATTTTACAAAATCTAGCAGCAATTAAAAGGAAAGAAAAAACTAAGTATTGCAAAGTTTTTAAATATGTACTCAGAAAGAGCAACGTGAAGAATTAAGAACCTGAATGAAGGTTGCAGGGTCAGAGGATATGTTCAGAAAGCCCTTAATGCAATCAACAATCTGAAAAGAACAAAATAAAGATATGAATTGTTGTATAGAACATCATAGTGCACTTTTGATTATGATGTCCACTTTGACTAGTTAAAACCAGTCATTCTGAGTTGATTTATTGCAGAGGTAACCATCATCAGTATATAAATGTAGAGAGAGAGAGAGAGAGAGAGTACCCCATATTTCTGAAGGACGCCATTGGGATCATTTGTAACAAGCCAACCAAGTCGCCAACCAGGAACAATCCATCTCTTTGATATAGACCCAACTGTGACAACAGGTGCAATCGACCCAAACACTCCCATAGGTACGAATGGGTTACTTCCAAAGGTAAGATGGTCATAAACTTCATCAGTAATCACTAATATCCCAAGCTTTCTTGCAGTCTCAGCAACCTGAAAAGAACATACCATCAACACCTAAAGTTATAACCAAAACTAAGTAATTACAGAAGTACTACTATTCTCGGACCTTCTTCAAATGCTGGTACGTAAACACATTCCCACAAGGATTGCCAGGATTTATAATAACCATTGCGACAGTATTCTTATCTGCAAGAGCTTCAACTGCATCAAGATCAACCTCCCAACCTTTCTCTGGAAGAAGATCAAAGTGGCGGACTTCAAGATGGTTATATGAAGCACGAGCTTCATAGAATGGGAAGCCTGGTCTTGGAAATAGAATGTTGGCATTTGGTCGAGCAAGGACTGTTAATATAACTTCAATTGCTTGTGTACATCCAATTGTTAAAAAAATATCATCCGGTGAAAGCTGGTGTGGAAGATCTTGAGAAAGGTACTCTGCAATGGCCCTATCCAAAAAAAAAAAAAAAAAAATGTAAGAATGAAACTGAAAGGATGAATCTCATATTTTCCCATAAGCTGGCATGCTTTCTTTTTTTAAACAACAACAATAATAATCATCATCATTTCCTAACCACTTAATTGAAATGGAATATGTATTCAGTAGAATCTGTTATAAAAAAATTGTTGGATTCAGTTAAAAACAATGGCATTTAGAATATCAGTTTTCTCCTTCCAAAACAGAGTATAAAACAAATTACTTTGCAAAAGCATATTATGGTACTTTCCAGTTTACTAGCGGTGGAGGGACAGACTCCAACAGAATAGCTAGTAATTTCATGTTCTGTACTAGCTTTAATGAATTATAAGAGCAAGTTTAAGTCATTTTCATAGTACATACAAGAAAATTTGTATCTTTTATAAGTAATAATTGAAATATAAAAACTTACCAAAAAAAGAAATGTACAGTTTATAATTAGTTTCATCAGTCCCTCCTAACAGATATGGCCCTCCAACCAAAATGTGGACCCTATGTGTGAGTTAACCCATGGTGTGTGTTGAGAATACATTTATTAAAAAGGAAGGAATAAAGGCCTGGGAACAATTGACTGAATACTTTGGGAAAAATTGCAAATAAAAGGCAAAATTGCCTGTTCACTTTTTGGAAAAAATTGCCGATAAAAGGCTAAGTCTATATACTTCGGGAAAAATTGCCTTCACACGCATATATATAATTTTGTATATTAAATGCAAAACTTATTTAAACCCATATATAAATACGTTTGATAATCCTTTGACAGTAATAAATGAAAATATGAATGTGTTCAATACAAAATGAAAGTAAAAAATAAAACCAAATTATCAGCGTTTAGTATATAAATTTAGGCCTAGACGCATTACTATACTCTCGTAATTGTATAATTGCACCACACAATGCAAGTCTTAATGCGTTCGTTAATCCAGAAGAAGAAAATTACTTTCTTGCCGGAAGAACACCGACGGTTGGACCGTAACCGTTGAAATTGGCGGAGCGGAGGGCATCGACGACGGCGTCTTCGGCTATTTGAGTGGTCCGAAAGCACGGAAACGCCGATGGGTCCCCGTGACCGAGAGGAATTGTTGGTCTCTGGTCTGCCTGGTTGAGATTTGACATTATGGTGGTGAGAATACCTCTGATGGAGATAGCCGACGACGCCATCAGCTCTTCGTTCCTTCCGAAAGCCCATCTCACCGATCCGTTCTCCATCGATTCTCCTCCTTAATCGTTAGGGTTTACAGAGGAGAGAGAGAGAGAGAGAGAGAGAGTCAGAATCTAAGAATCTTCAACCTGTCAGTAAACAGCAACAGAAACTCTCTGGTCACGACCGACTGGTTAAGGGCATGGCATAGTCGTTGATGCAGTATGAATTTACTATTATGCCATTGATTACATATACAAGTTTTTGAACAAATCAAGCCGCCACCAGTAAGGACAAAAATATAGAAGACATTAGGTGTAGATGCCAAGTTATGTGCTTCACTAAAGCAGGGTTCGGAGACTATTATTTTGGGACGATGATTACGACATTCGTACAGCGTCATGAAATGATGTGGCATAATATACACCGTTTATTAAGTTTCAGATCGGAAAAACATGAACAATCATCATTTTACGTCAGAATTCATATTCAAATATAGATGAGAGAATATAAACAAATTTTTTTTTTTTTTTTTTCATATGAAGTATGAACACGATTGAGTTCGTATCATTTGAACACTGTTTAATTAAAGTAAATATAAGTGGCTTATGTCGCATCTCAGATAATTCGATCCATTTAAAAATCATTTGCGTCTATATATGACCTTAATCCAATTTTTTTATTGAAGAGCTGTATTTTTGAAACTTTGAGAATTTCAATTCAATTATAAAATTGAAATCAATTAAAATTATTTTTCTAATTAAATCAAATATGGGTCCAACCTATACAATTTCAAGCCCTAGGTTAAACTTACACTAAATCGTATAATGTGATTCATGTTTTTTTTGGCCTCAATGTGGATCACAAGATCGAGATTGAGACTATGATTTGGGGAGGATTGATTGGTATATTTATGTTGTTAAGTATTGAAAATTTAAATTTTTTGATGAAAGATTTAGTTGATTTTGAGATAATTAAACACTGAAAAATACAAAAATAAAAACATCCAACCGCGTTTACTTTCACAATCATCATTTTACGTCAGAATTCATATTCAAATATAAATTAGAGCATATGAACAAATCATCTTATGAAGTATGAACGCGATTGAGTTCATATCATTTGAACACTTCAAATAAAGTAAATATAAGTGGCTTAATTATGTCGCATCTCAGATAATTCGATCCATTTAAAAATCATTTGCATCTATATATGACTTTTAATCCAATTTTTTTTTTTTTTGAAGATCTATATCTTTGAAGCTTTGAGAATTCCAATTCAATTATAAAATTGAAATCAAATAAAATTAATTTTCTAATTAAATCAAATATGGGCCAACCTATACAATTTCAAGCCCTAAGTTAAAGTATAAACTTACACTAAATCGTATAATGTGATTCATGTTTTTTTTGGCCTCAATGTTGATCACAAAATCGAGATTGAGACTAAGATTTACCAAGGATTAATCGGTATATTTATGTTGTTAAGTACTGAAATTTTAATTTTCTTTATGAAAGATTTAGTTGATTTTGAGACAATTAAACACTGAAAAATATTAGGAGTGTTAAAATAATTTGTTAATCACCGATTCAAACTAATCCGATCTGCGTGGTTCGGTTCGGTTTGGTTTTTTGATCTCATAATTCGGTGATAGTTTTAAAAATTAACAATCTGCAATGAACTATTCGGTTAACGGATTGAACCTTGAAAAAACCAAACCGATCCAATCCGTGAATTATATTATATAATATATATAATTATATGTATATTGTAATATATTATTATTATTATTATTATTTATTCATTATTTGTTTTTAAAATTCAGCCCTAGGTTTTCTAACATAAGTAGGCCTAGATCAGATTCGAATCAGATCGATCAAATCCATATCTGATTTGTTAAGCAAATGGATTATCGGATTCGGATCACTAACGGGTTTTTGGACTGAATGTCTCAATTCATATCCTATTTAGCTCGGACTCAGATCGAATCAGATTCGAATTCGGATTGAAATCATATTTACTAACATATATAATTATTAAGCTAGATGAAGCGGAGAATTGCTAATATGCAGAATGCTACATATATAATATAATTATGCAATCAAATGAATATAATGATAAATAATTAATATATATAAATTTATTAATATATAACTAATATATATAAAACATTGATATATAGTATATTGTAAATTATTTACTCTTTGTTAATGAATAAAGAGTATGATATTATTAGTAAGTATATCAAGAGATTTATTAGTACGATGAGAACACCACTCTACTGTATATATAACATGGAGTATTTATATATATATAGATATATATATATGTAAAATTATTGATAAATAATTATTTATATATATAATTTTAATTGGATCGGATTGGATCGGATTATTAACGGATCGGATCAGCATAATCCATATCTGATTTGTTATGCTAACGAATTATCGGATTCGGATCGTAATCGGATTATCGGATTTTTGTTTCAATCCATATTCGACTAATCGGATCGGATCCGGATCAAGATCTTCTCCATTAATAGGTCTAAAAATAAGGTCTGTGCCGCCTCCTAATCTCTGTCTATCGTCTCTCTCTTCCTCAGTTCCTCATCTCCAAAGGACTGATATGAGTAAACCCCTTCATAATCTTTACCTGCAACACATATACATATATGCACATGATACTTACCTTGAGTTATCTTATACTCTCTGGATGTTACTAAACCATTTAATTGAAGTCCAAAAAGCTGGGTTGAGGCTACCCTCTCTGAGTTTGGTTGTTAGCGGTTGACTGAGACATATTATGTTGTTGTTGCTATTGCCGTTATTGTTGGTGCTGCTAAGTTTGGTTGGTGTCGAAGTGATGAAATGCTTGCCGGTGGGGTGAAAACGGGAGACGCAAACCTCTGCTGAAAGGATTTCCATTGGTGGCTGGGAGAATCCCCGGTTGCATTCTTAAGCCGTTACACTACAATATAATCATATTGGACTGTTTGAAAAGCCTAATCTGTGGGAACCGAACCGAACCAATCTGTTATTTTACGGATCAGTTTGGTTCGGATTGAGAGTCCCCACTGATCGGTTCGGTTTCAGATTTAACCAATTCGTGAGAACGGGACTGGTTTAAATTTTACCCAAAATCGAACTGATCCGTGATCCGTCCTAACTAAAAAACACAATATATGTATATATATTTTTACCAAAAACGTTTTCGATCACACAATATAATTTTCTGTTATGGTCTAGCCTACATCCCATTAACTAGAATGAATTAAAATAGAGATGAAAGTAATTTTTTTTTTTTAGTTAAAAGGGTAAGCTTGTATATATGAGAAGAAAGAATGTACATGATGCCCCACTTAAGGGAGAAGAAACATCAAAAGAAAAGAGATACTAGACATGGTGCAGCAAAACAAATTCCCTAACATAGAGATGAAAGTAGTTGCCACTCTCAGAACAACCATTACGTTTTCGATCACTCACTTGTAGATTCAAGGATGAAATTTGTAAATTTTAATAAATAGTAAAGCTAATTGCAAAATAGATTTAAAAAATAAAAAACAATTGTACAATTCATCTTTTGCAACCAACCTAAAATAAATTGTTTTTCATGTAAATGGAAAAAAAAATAGCAAAAATAAAAGAAAATGAAAAGTTTAAAATTCATGGAATATTTCCTCTCCACTTCCAAATTTTTTCCCTCTCTTTTCTAAAACATGAATCACTCACTATATAGCACCTATATATATTCACTTTAACTCTGATTAAGACCCTTAATACCTTGGTCCTTCCAGTATAATTTAAAACCAATCATAATCCCTGATTTATTGAGATTTATTTAAGGAATTGCTATAAATTTGCACTTTTTGTTTTATAGCTGTGAATAGCTGCAAAAAAATTGCTGGTTGTTAAAAAAAAAAAAGCCTTTTTTTTTTTTTTGGCTGGTTGTTAAAAAAGCCTTGTAGTGTTTAGGAATTTTATGCAAAAAAATTTGCTGGTTGAAAAAATATTGTTAAAAAATATCTTAATTCTAAAACACAATTTTCTTTTTAAAAAAAAACCAAATTATAGCTTATATCAAAAGTTATATAAGCCAGTTTAACTAAATAAAAGTTATATAAGCCAAAATCTCTGGCACCAAAAAAGCACTTTCCATCACCAAATTAATTAACCAAACGTACTTGTTGAATATTAATTCAAAGGCGCCAAATTGCAACACCAAACAGACGCAATATTCTTTTCTCATAGTTGCGATTATATAAGAAGTCCTTAAAAAGTTTCATAAAAAGTTTTCAGTTCCGTGAATCCATTGGTCAAACAATTTCCTTTCCCTACCTATTTCGCAGCTTAAAATCTATCCGTTGGTAGACTTTCCTTAGTGATAAAGTTTAAATTTGATTTGACTAGGATTCTTTCTTCTTTTATTTTTTTCTAATTCCAGAGTTAGTGGGTATATAAATCGGCATGGAGTGTAATAGTTTCATCATCATTTGGAGGCAAGAATAATTGTGAGGGTGATGTTGAAAAGTGTTCTTGGTTTTACAAGAACTCTCTTGAAAAGACTAGGTGGTTTTTCTGGAATTTTCTATTAGAAATTTTTTATTTCTTTTTTTTCATACATCCTCGAAGTTTATCATGAGGACACGACAACTCTCATACATTATTTTTTGCCATGAAGCATGCATTGTTAATGCTTTAAAATTTTAATTTTTACCGGGTTTCTAATTCTATAATATTATTCTTTGAAAGATTAAGTGCTGCAGTAGAGAAAAAAAAAAAAAAAATTTCTTGTTCAAGAAGGAAACCTGAAGTTCAATACAAAGCTAAAGAATCGTTCTCGCGCATCACATGGGTATGCTCTCCATCCTCTAAATTGCTGCAGTAGATGATTACTTCTCAATCTCTGCCGCCTAACCATTTGATGTCATGTATTTTTTATTTTTCTTCTTGGATCGACACTTGGCATGTGATTTCAATGTGATAATTATATTTATTATATAATCATAAACAAATTAAGCTATATTATGTTTTTCATTTCTACATTATTCTTTCAAAATGAAAAATGAAAGTAATACGAATGTTAAAATTCTTACCAATGTCGTGTTGGCGAAGTCAATTTCTTAGGTTGTGAATGTTTTGGCTCAAATTGGGAATTTTTTTTGGGGCTCAAATTGGGACTCTTTATAAAAGAGTCTTTCCTTTTTTCTTTTTTCTTTTTTCTTTTATTTTTTACCTTGACATGAAATATATTCACACAGACACTTTTTTTATAATGATTTGAACTTTTAATTTTCTACTTAGTTGAAAAATTGATAAAATGAATATTCAGTCTATCCCCAAAT